CCCTCCCCCCCACCTCTCCCCTAGAGTCTGAGCAAGTGGCGCACTTAGTCAGTTAGTTAGTTGGACTATATTTTCCTGTCAATCCGTTTGTTAACAAAAACCCAACCTTAAGTCATCTTAATTGGCTAAATGTCATTCGTGCAGTCTTTCAGTCACACACATACACTCACACACACACTCACACACACACTCACACACACAGTCACACACACACTCACACACACACACACATACACTCACACACCCACTCACACACATTCGCACACACACACTCACACACACACACGCACTCACACACACACACTCACACACACTCACACACACACTCACACACACACATACACTCACACACCCACTCACACACACACGCACACACATACACTCACACACACAAAGAGAGAGGGAGAGGCCTTTATTTGTCTTCACTTAACCCAATTCGGGGGAATTGACTTTTTCCTTCTCAAGATTCAAGAGAAATTTAGTAGAACGTGCTCAGTTATCACGTTATTTTCACTAAGACTAGACTTGTCTTAAGTTCTTTTATTCGGATATTTGGGCCTCCCTGTTAAGAATCTCGAAACAAGGGGGAAGTGGAATGTATTTCATAAATTTTATCGTTTTCGCTTTGCGTGTATTAGTTAAACTTTGCAAACAAATCAAGCAATACTGAGTAAAGTTTAAACTTTTAACACGTGTAAATGCAGTCCTCTCAAGTATGAGCAAGTAAAAGCCGGGTCATGTATTTGTTACAGTCATCTACCTTATCGAACCTCCTTTCATCTCGTCTCCAAAACCCGGGCGCTTTTCTCTGACACCTCCTTACACCAACTCACCTCTTCCCCCCCCCCCCATCTACTCATTCCTCCTTTCCCTTCTACCCACCTTCTTTTCAGCTATTCAACACTCATTCGTCCAATCCAACTCTTCGTCACTTAGACCAAAAAAGTCCTTGCAACATATTAGCTTTGGGAAGAGCCTAAGTTCTTAAAGAGCTCTTTTCTTGAGACGCCTGTAGTAACTCCACATTGTTCCTCTTTATGTTCCCTCTCCGCTAGTTTATGAGTCTGTTCTAACTGCCAATAGACAATAAAAGTGGATCATTGATTGACCCAAACGCCCCCCCCCCACTACCCTATTTTCTCCAAGTCTCCATCTTACTACTTCTTTGTGCAATTGGTCATTTTACCCACTTCCTATTCCCCTTTTTAACTGTTGACCCAGTGAAAATCATTAGTTCTTTGTTGGAATATGAGGACTACTTAAGTGACTTTGTTTAAATGCATAAAAGTACCTCTTTTTATAATTGATGACAATTTAAATGATGATTGGTTCTATTGGTCGGTGTGTAACGAAAACAAACAGGCCCTTTTAATAATAGATCCCTGAAGATGTAATTTTATCGAGCCCCGGATTGGTTAAGATATTTGAGCCGAATGGGAAGGCATATCAGCATACTGTTAAAATTCCCTAATTGCCATGTTGATCATTCACCCTAAACATAAACCATTACTTTGAAGCGTGGAGGTGAAATTTCGGTGCTTTAATTGGTGAAAAGTGTAGCACGATGCGTCTGATTAATTCAAGGTATACAACTGTGATGACTTAACTTCCTCGTCCATTTCGTCGTAACTCATGTCTGAATTTAGTCAACTTTTGATAACAATATTGTGACATTTTAAGCATCCACGAAATAGCATGCTCAAATGCTTGCTATGCGTTTGTGCAGTTTTGCTCGGTCTTAACGGTTTGCGAGGTGTCAAATTTCAAATGGTTGCTTTGTTTTTCCTACCACGGGATATCAATTTGCTATTTTAAATTCACTACTTAGTGCATGGCTCAGTATTTCCACTACAAAAAGTAGAATCATCTTAACCTAGGTTCCCATAGTAATGTGCCTTAACTAGATCGAGTGACTTTAATATGAAAAACGTGCAAGAAACTGATCTCAGTTGGGCACATAATATATATGCTATTTGAAACTGTTCTTCCTTAAATATCAAGTTGGTTATCTTCACTTGTGACACTTTGGTCTTACTCCTTTTAAATTCAGCGGGAGGATCGTTATCGGCCTGTTAATTTTTTAGGTTTAGCTAAAGTTTCCTCCAATATAAATCAATCTATTTTGGGAAGGTTTAGCGTTTTCTAAATCATTCTTGGAAGGTCGATCGTCGAAATATGAAATTTTATTCAACACGGTCGTTTTAATTTACTTTTAAGAATCAAATTAATATTAAATTGATTGAAATTTCGTCAGCCGTGGAGTATTTTCAAGTCAGTCTGCTAATCGTCCCGAATGAACTCGAATATTTACAACAATATTGGCTATATTTTTCTTTCGATCATTTAATAAAATCCTACAAATTGTGATTGGTCATTATAATACGTTTTATCTTTCCCTTAAGCTGATTATGTTCATGATAAGATTAAAAGCGAAATTTACTGAAGCACTTCTTAAATCCATGATAAATTAGATAATTGTTACCCATTCACTATATTACATATATACTGTAAATTCAGAAACATGAAGTATTGATAAAACTTTATTTGAGTTAGATATTGCTAACTTTCTATGCTTATTATTTTCGGTTTTTGTATAATGGATATAAATTAATAAGCCTTCGGCTTTGCCCTATTGATCCTCTTGGAAGTCCAAGTAGACGCAGACAATTCTAGCAAACCTCCAAAAAAGTTACTTAGTACAAGTGACTAAAAAATGGTTGCAAAATGGTTAAGCATGGAATTTTATTTAACACAAGCACAAATTAATTGATATATACAAAACAAAACAACAAATCTGTAGATTATTATACAAAAACGAAAACAAGGAAGGGTTACAATGATATTATGGGTAAAATTTGATGTTTTAGGGGAAGTATTTGAATAGATTTCAGCGCAATGTTTTAGCAAGAAATTAAAATTAGAATGCAAATGATTTAACTGGAAGGGCACGAAAATTACTACTGTGAATAAGTTGGCTTTTTGCATAATTATTTCATGGATTTCTCAATAATTAGGAAACATTATGTATAAAGTGAAAATAATAAAATCCGAATCTTTACAAAAATATGTCTACTAAACGCCTATATAAGTATATATATATTCTAAATAAGCTATTCTGGAATTTATGATTTGATTTGAAATGTGACTGGAATAAATTATATTAAGGCTAGTGACGTAGTTTAGCTAAATTCCGTTTACCATAAAAATGTTGACTTTACAAGTTTTGCAATAAAGTGATAAATATGATATGAAATGTTTAATTTGCTGTAAGATGCAGCGAAGTTTCAGATTTGACCTTCATCTTTTGTCTAGTCTGCTATTTTTATACGTAGAAGCAATTTATTAGTTTGTTATGTAAGCTAAATTTCAACTATATTTTATTCTCATTTAAAAAACTAATTTCCAGCTCTTTGAAATGCATGTGGCATTTTCTTTTTTAACTTATGTATAACCGATTTTCGACTCTTCAGACATGGCAAAGGTGGTGAGATTTTCATTTGAGAAAATCTATGGTGATTCGTTTAAAGTATTTTGTGAAGAGCCAATCAATATTCCTCTTGGACAACCTTCTTACTGGCTTATTTCACGCCTTATTGTCGACCATAATATCCCCAAATTTGCTGAAAAAGGTAGCTTTGATTCAGTAAATTCTTTATCTATCTTAGATTTTTCTGATGCACTACTCGCTTTTCTCAAGGAAAATGAGAAGGCTCGTGTTGACGATTGCTTGACAAATCTTTATGAAAGTCTAGCAAAGTCAGGAAACGAGCCTAGTCGAATCGCCAGTTCGCTAGAAGAACGTGTCAATGAGGTTTTGTTAGCTTCTATTTCCTTAACTTTAATAGCGCATTTCGACTAGATTTCAGTCTGATCCACCAACTGATGAGGAGATCTTCGGACAAACCTTCACGAAGATAGTTAACTCTCCCGCCGCAATGGATTTAATCCAATTAGAACACTCATTTGCAGCAGCTGTAGAAACAGAAGTCATCGAACGCAATCGAATTCTTAAGGAATTGGAGATGGAACTTGAAAGTGGAACCGAGGCTATGTTGTCCAACAACTATGTCGAAGAAGCGGTTTCGGAGTTGCAACGTCGATTCCATACAGAATATGAAGTTAAGAAAATGACCCTGAATAGTGGTATTAGTGAGTTAAAGGAAACACAACGGAAGGACTACCGAAATTTTGTCATGTCAATTGAAGAGCAAATACTTCAAGTGGATTTATCTAAACCCCTCCCACCTAGGCCGTCGGAACTCATGTAAGTAAATGCGTGTGTTGCACAGTATGGCAGTCATTGTGTACTCTGCTTACAGACGTGTATCTCCTTTTTCCTTTAAAGTGACAACGCTGCGACCCATTCAACCCCAAAGAGGACGGTGAATCCTTCTAATCTTGCTGGTCCGCGTTCGGAGAGCTTCATGATTCAGTTGGGACGCCAACTTCGATCATTCTACAACTTAAAATTTGTTGAAGCTGATCCAATGGATCTTATGGCACCGATCGGATCTTCGCTCGGCATACCGAATTCACAACAACCAAGGCAAGGTTTATGTCCTGTTATTAAGTATGCCACCTTTTCTCCCTGACCGGGAGTTAAGATCAAAAATCAATTGCTCCAAAGCACCTTATTAAACAAGCGAAATTCCGTTGTTGATGTTTTGAGTTCAAAGCACCACCACATTTTCGACCCCTAACGGTGTACCTCTGTTCCTTGTGGGGGCGGGGCGGGGGGGGGTTCATTTTGTGATTTAGCCTCAGCTTACTTAAATTGCTCGTGCTTTAATTGAACAACTATATCGCTTTGGAGTCCTGCTTGTCGCTTTCCTACATCTTCCTCTATGATCTACCTAAGTTTATTATTTCGAACCGTATTTGATACCCTTATCGATCTTCAGTCATTATCCCCTTGTCTGCCATTAGCTTCGCTTGTTTCTTTGTGCGCTTGGAACGGTGGAACTGCCATTTACTGATACGTTCCATTTCCCTGGGGGGGAATTTTATTTAAAAATGTTTGGAAAGGCAGCAGATTGGCCTTATAGTCTGCCATATTGATATTGTGTTGAGGTTCAGTCCAACGCAATGACAGTTCCGCAAGTCAATGACTGCCGGGCTTTTTCGGTTGACATTGAGCAGTATCTAAGTGTTGGGGGTTTTGTTCGTGTCTATGATACTCTGCTGGTTCCCGCGTGGTGCTTGTCTTCCCCCCACCCTGGTGTTTTATGTCCTCATTCGGTGGTTTTTGTCCAATCATATTTCACTGCTATGGTAGCTAATAGACCTAATCGGATAGATCAGCTTTAACTGCAATACGGTCCCAAATGGACGGGCAATTAGATTTCTTATTTTACCTTTGTTCGAACCTTATAAATTATACGTCGTTGTCAAGTTTCACGTTTTCGGGAATGTCAAAGGATAAAGCAATTTACATTTCTTTAGCTTACTCACTTTCCTACTTTATAAAACGGCAATTAATTAGTCTCTTGAAAGACCAAGGAAGAAGACCTGTAGGTCAAACCTTGGCTCACAACTGAGAAAGTAAATGTGCTTGTAGCCAATAGGATATGACTGTCTCACTAATCGGCCAATATTGATGGCCATTACTTCTTCACTGTAGCAAGTCTGAACGCAGAGTCGGGAAAAAATCGATAATTCAATCCGTGAGAAATAAACTTACTGATGTACTCTTTATGTAGAAGCCCATTTATATATATTTTTTTGTATGCATTTGCTAATCGGCCGATTTTTTCCTTTTACTACTTACTGATTCTTTACCATTATTTTTTTTATTTTTTCAAACTTTAGCGCCGAATCTACTATCAACCTGGCTGAGCGATTGAGCAGTGCTCTTACCATTTACTCAAATGAGCTAACCGGTCTAGTAATCCTTGTTGATAACCAAATACTTCAATCCAAAGATCAGCAAAGTGGATTTCATTACTTTATTTCTTTTGACCTCTAGATATTTGTTTTAATAGATTTTATGTTGTATTTAGGACTCGCTGATGTCTGCGAATTGTCAACAGACTTTCATTTTCCTGAGCTGGATCGCCAACTGTACAAAATAAAGGAAACTATGCTCGACCTCTCGTCTCATGGTACATTTATCTATTTTTACAAATATTTCTACTTATATACATTTAAGTAGCCAGGTTTATTTCTTTTATATATTACCACCAGTTCAGGAGACGTCTTCTGCAAACACACCGAAAACGCATCCTAAACCTGGCGACGTTTATCTCACTCGCCACTCGAATCTCCGTGCCAGTGAAATCGGTGGAAATGCAGGGGGTGGTGGTGGGGTTGAAGTCGTCTTCCACGTTGTCGCGGATGACGACGTTTGTGCGGTATCAAAAGAGGGTTCAAAATCGCTTGCCTCACCATCTTTGCCATCTTATCTCCTCAGAGCTCTTTCTGCTGTCCTCAGAGTATGCAACCAACATGACATAACTACGCTCTCTCTTCCCCTACTTTTCACAAGAAGATCTCTTGAAGTGAGTTCTTATGTCATTGAATTTTGATCTACTTGCGAAATTTTTTCTCATTTTTATATCAAAAATGTTTCAGTTTGTGGAATATTATGTGGTTTACTTATTGCTATCATGGAAAACGTAGTAGTTGTTGGTGTCGATGACAGTTTAAGAAAATAACAATATTTATTGTTTTTTTTTAAATTACCGTTTTTCGTATTGGTTTCAATGGTTTATTTAGTCCTAAAACCATATAGAAATGCTGGTCTCGCAAATGATGCATTTGAATGTCTCAGTGTCTCTACCTTAATGGTATTACCAAATGGGGGGGGGTTCATAAGATTCAAACAGCTTCCCTTTGCCCATCATGCGTTTCAAAGTTTTTTCTTTGGAATTGACCTCTGGAACCTGACAAACTTCATTCTTGAGTTAATTAATTCTCTAAAACGTGTCTCACTTATCTGCCTCCCTAGAAGGCATCCTTTGTGTTTCCTCAAGGATTATACTTACTTTCCAGAATCGCATTGCGTTGTTGGGAGAAACCCTGTAATCACTTTTCGGGGTGTGTATGAAATAGGCTGAGGAGGAATAAGTTTTTTCCAAAATTGATCCGTCTCAGTAATTAGTGTAAGATATCGATGCATTTCGTAGGGGTTTCAGAAGGCTTGCTGCATTTTTTTAGCTAATTGATGACCTTGTACTGGTAGAGAACTTATCGATGCTCTCTCTACTTGTAACAGAGTGACAAAAAGGCTGAAAGTAATTAGATTTTCATGTGAATTACGTAGGCAAAGTGAGCAAATATAGTTGTTGTTGTACTGTCATACTTTTTCCCTTAAAAGAAAATGTATGAATTTTACATAGTGGCTATTTTTATATAAATGTGATTAAAATAATTACACATTTTGTTGTAAAGATGTGGAGTCACTTGCCGCCTGTCACTTATCACTTCATATTTTATGATTGGTGGACCTTTTAAAAAACTGCGAAGATTGAAAGCGGCAAACTTTTGGGAAATGTCTTCTCACATCGAGTTATTGAAAGACATTGAGAGAAATAAATGTTTAAGTCTTCCTAAGGGGGATCATTAAGTACCTTCTTCTTCTTCGTGTTTCTGGAGAGAGAGCGTACATGTCATTCGTATTTTGAGCAGAATATTTTTATTTATTATTATTATTATTCTTAATCATCATTAATATTATATATATATCAAATGGCAGGCGTTTTGATAGTTATCATTAGCCCCATATCAAATGGCAGGCTGTTCCCAATTATTTATTTATTTATATCAAATGGCAGGAGTTTTGAAGATAGTTATCATTAGCCCTGTATCAAATGGCAGGCGTCTTGATGGTTATCATTAGCCCTTAACAAATGGCAGGCGTTTTGATAGCTATCATTAGCCCTTTAACTGACTTCGGTATGGCAGGCGTTTTGATAGCTATCATTAGCCCTTTAGTTGGTGGCAGGCGTTTTGATAGATATCATTAGCCATTTAGCTGAGTCACTCAATGCCATAACATTTATTTATTTCAAAATATATATATATATATTTATTTATTTCAAATGGTAGGCGACCAATTACTCAATATTATTTATTTATATATATCAAATGGCAGGCGTTTTGATAGTTATCATTAGCCCTTTAGTTGACTTCAAGCTTCACAGAGGGGAAGAAACATCAAAGTGAAAAAAAGGTCGAGAGGAGGAGGGGGGGACAGAAGAGTGTTTCAGAGACAGATACAAAGGTAGAAAAAAGGTGAGATGAGTACTGTGGAAGGGGTCGAATATGACATACATTGGGGAGGGTGGTAGTTTGAAGTCGGAAGTCAACTGCCAGTTAATAGACATTTTTGCCGTATGAGTATACGTTGCCCAGGGTGCACCACGTGGAGGTAAGTCTATCGCACATTAATATTATTATTTCTGGTCCGAAATTGTTGTCTGTTTTCTATGCTGAGGTGTTTTTGTCAAGTTTATCGCTCCACAACTCTCAAAAGATCCTAGCAACGCCCGAAATCGGCCCCTTTACCAAAAGTAATCTTTGTGGGCTTTAAAGTGACCAGAAGTAACGCATGAGAGCGTGTCAAAAATTCCCTGGCAAATGTCATAACTTTAAGCAAATGGGGTTGATATTTTAGGCGTTGTGCCACCGAAAATGAAACCTGGATCAACCAATATAATCCAAATAAAAAAAAACAAATTCAATCAAGAGTGGCATCCCAAGGAACATCTGGTCCTGTCAAGTTCAACGCTGAACGGTCTGTTAAGAAGGTCTTGGCCACAATTTTTCCGGGAGGGGGGGGAGGGATTCAGAAAGATAAACGTTGATAGACCTTCTGGAGGGGGGGGGTGTGTGGGAACGGTCACCTCTTCAAGTTACTTTGAAGGCATTTGAAAGAGGAGTTGCGCATGCAAATCTTGTCTCATCATGACGTTGCCTCTGCTCGCTCTTCAAGAGTTGGCAGGCCTCTGTTGCACGAATTTCGATGGGAAACACTTCCACTTCCTCCTCCTTGAACGCAACTCATTTGCGTTTTAATAGGTGAGACGAAAGGCAAGAAATTTCACAATTTACAGACGGAAATACTGGAAAATAAAGTGCCTAGGCAACAATGGAGCCCAAGTGGAAAGGTGAATGCAATCATTTGTTGATTAAATAAATCACGCCATTTGTCTGAGAAGTTTCTAACTTACCATCGTATTTGAAGTAATTGTGCTTCTCCGTTGTTTTCCTAGCAAGAAGCCACTTAATCGTTATGATAGCCATATTTGAGTAGCTGTCAATGATCTACCCACAAGTGCAAACTTGCTCACGGCGGTACTTGTCTCCTTCTTGGCGTAATAATTATTTCACGCTGTTATTGACTCTATTTGAATGGATCATAAAGTCTCTCTTTACGGGGAAAAGTGTCCTATGCTTGTCGATGGAAGTTTTCAACAGCAGTTTTTACTTGGGTAGAGGGGGGGGACGGGGGTGGGGCGCTGGGAGG